TTGCACATCATAGAGACAATATTGCAAAAGACCTTTTTTCTTTAAAATGCCTAATTAAAAGTTACTAAGGAATTGAACTGGACTTCTGTGTTTGATAGGCAGAAATACCTTTATAGTATTTTCAGTATTTAATGCCTTTTTTTTTTTTTTTCCACTGGGGGAGATTGTGGAGCATCACTTAGTAAAATCCTAATTTGAAATTGGATGTAAATGTGAGGAAGAATTTTTTGCAGTCCTTTTTTGATCCCATTGTATGCATTGGTTGTATGCATTCCAATGACTTTGCTCTAGTATGGACACTATCATGGAAATTCCTGTCAAATACTATAGCAAGAGCTGACTGCAACCTGTAATTTATTTTTTTTTTAAATGCTTAGGGTTGGGCTTTTATTCAGAGAAACAGGCAGAAAAAAATGTTGGTGTCATCAGCATTTCTGCATGAAGTTATCTTATTCTGTAGTCCTCTCAAAACAATCTAAATACCAATCGATTCAATCCAGACAGTGATATAGGACAAGGGGGAATGGTTTTAAAAGAGGAGAAGAAAAATTCTTTACTATGAGAGTGGTGAGACACTGGTACAGGCTGGAAAACCACCCAGAAAAGTTGTGGATTCCCCATCCTTGGAAGTGTTCAAGACCAGGTTGAATGGGGCCCTGAGCAACCTGATCTAGTGGGCAGCATTCCTGCCCCACAGCAGGAGGGGCTGGAACTGGTCCCTTCCAACCCAAATTTATGTCTTAGTCCCAGAGATATCTTAGAGTATTACATTCACAGACACATTTACCTTGCTTCTTGTTCCAGCAAGGTGTTAGTCACTTGCATTTGAATCCACATATTCAACTCCTTCATGGCTCTCAGTATTTCTGCTTGGCAGTTACTACATGCAAACATTAGATCTAGACATTACTGGGCATACATTACCAAAATATCTGGGAAGAGGTCCTCACATCCTTATTTCAGAAATATGTGCTGTAGCTGAATGATTGTATCATAGCATCTGCACTTACAGTTAAGAGAGAAGGAAAACACTATCCTTTTAAAATTCCCACTGTCTTTATTTTTTGCTTATAACAAAGTTAACTGCTGAATGCAGCTCATCAGGTGGTAGATGTAAGAAGGCTGTCTAGCTTGAAGAATTAATTTCTCTTTGGAATACAGTGTATCCATGTTCTCTGGTATATACTGATATATTACTGTTTTGTAATTATAATAGTGATTTTATGCCATTTTTATAAATAACTGCTGAAAGAATGGTTGGGGAAGGATCTGGAAAGTTGCAAAATTAATATTAGAAGTTTTGCCCTTTGAACAGTGACCTCAATGGAATTCCATTTCCCCCACTGTAAAAATTAAGGCAAGTAAATGCTGAGGAGCTGTGGACAGTCCTTACAATTCTGTATGTCAAGAATGTAAACTGGTTGTGTATTTAAAATTTTCATCAATTCTCCTATAGACAAATCTTACTTTACATTACAAGTTTGTTTACATTACTGCAAACAAGAAGTTTTCAAGGAATACTCTCTTCCCATCTGTTATATAAAACCGAAACTACAGTGGCAACTTAGCAATACCCTTACAGATCCTGGACTTCATATGTACTTACCACAAATGTTAAAGTTCTCTTCAGTCCTGACGCTGCAGCACACTTGTGTTTGATGAGTTATTTACAAGCTTATACAGCAGTTTTCCTTAATTCCAAGCATGCTGTTGTTGGTAAACTTTCTCAGCAAGTTGAAGGGAAAAATTTCCACTGACCAAACAAGTCTCTTTTTTTGAGTTCAGCTTACTGGTACAAGTTTTAAAAGTTTTAAGTTAAAACCACAGGAAAATGTAAATCACTTTCTAGATGTTAAATTGACTGCTGAAATGGAATAGTTGTGCAAAAAGATAAATGAACTGTTCCTGCAAATTTTCCAGTCAAAGATTTGATATTAGCAGATTTCTGGCAGTTCTTGTTAGTGAAGGAATTCTCCAGTTAAAATTATAATTAATTTTAGAACAGCCTAATCTCACATAATTAGTGCATTTTGATTTTCCTGAAATAACAGAACTGACTCCTTCACCAGCCAGGCATCACCTCTACAAAAGTAACTGGCACCTGAACAGAAAATAGTGAAGTTTTTAGAGCCCTTTTTTAACACACAATCATTCATTAGAGTACATCCAGCAGAGCAGCCTCTGTTGTACAAAGAGCCTTTTGGTTATTGGAATTCAAACTGAGAGAAGAATCTTTGGCTCTTCTTGGGAAGGTGAGAAGAGGGAAGAGATGCAATATCAACTTCATAGTGCATTAGTTGGAGCTAATGGTTTTGGATGACATGCTTCTCTCTTTGGTACTGTTCCTGTCCCTGTGCTGACTGACATTAACAGCACAATTCAATTGTCCCATTCCAAGTTGCTGGTGGCATTTAAGAAGCATTAACATGGCTCAGAACATCCACGTGGCAGATGCAGAGAGAGAGCTGTGCTCGGAGCTGCCTGCTGGATACCACAAGGAATGTTCAAGGGCATTTTGTTTCATGCCCTAGATGGCATTCTCACTAGATGCCTATATGTAGGCACCAAATAATTCTAGCAGAAATGATTGTGATCATACACTTGCTAATGCAAATTATGCTAATGCAAAGCCTTTTTATAGTTTCTTCTTTTGCCAACTTTGAGAAACCAGCATGTAAAAATAGACATCTTTCAGTATAGGAAGAGTTAATTTGTCTTGCCATGACAGATTTGTAGTCTATATTTGGTCTTAGAACTCAACTAATATTCTGTCTTGTAGATTAAATATATTTTTAAAGTAAGCATGCTGAATTCAAATGTTTAAATATAACATTTTCATCTTGGAAAAATCATTTTTCTTCAATTTTATGTTTGTCTTAAGTTCTGAATTGATTGTTGAACTTCTTCCGTATAGTCTTTGTCTGTTGTGAATATGTTCCAGACTATAAGGTGAAAAATAAATAAAAATCCCTTATCGTATAATTCTTTTAAATCACTTGTGCTTGGCTAGGTCTTGCTACAAATCCTGAACTGAGATTTCCATATGTGCTTAAGAACAACTTTTAACCTGGACCAGTGGAAATCATTTATTGTGTAACTGAGGTATCCAAATTAGTGCTTTCTGAAAAAATATAGTATCCAATGAACAAATGGTTCTGATGATAGCTTTTCTTTTTCTCTTGGGGTCTTTTCCAGTGTAGTCTTCCCTCTGCTTCTACCTTTTCTTTTAAAAGAAATTTTTCAATCTGAGGCTCTAAATTTCCCTAGCTGTGGATTTTAAATATGCCTCACCTGTCTGTACTAAGCTTCCTTAAAATGCTAGTTTATCTCATGTTATCTGCAGCATTCAGGGAATGTTAGTAGTCTGTGATTTGCACTTTCCCTTTTCTCCAAGGAGGCGTTCCTTATCGGGCACCTCTGAAGAACTGGAGCACCTGCTGCACTGTGCCCATTTGAGCAGCTCACATGGGAGTGGTTGTCAAAGAATCACAGAATATTCTGTGGAATATTGGAAGGGACCCACAAGGATCATCAAATCCAACTCTTAAATGAATGACCTGTACAGGGATTGAACCCATGACCTTGGCATTATTAGCACCATGCTCTGACCAAGTGAGCTAATCTTACGTCAGTCCAGGCAGTTCTTGGAAATGGGGGAAAGGGGAAATAGGGTAACTGCAAGGGCTCTTGTAAAGTGCTGATGGGTAGAGCTGGGCTTTTAGAATGAAACAAGGTGTTCACCCATTACAGACATTATTTGTAGTGCTGGTGGTGATGTTAGCTAGACAATAAAACGTTGCGGTCTTCATACTTTCAAAACTTGGAAGTCTGAAGTTGGAATGGATTTTTGATACCCCGTAGCACTCTTATTTTAAGCTGCCTCATCAAGCGGACTGCTGAACCAATGATAAGATATCAAAAGTTGTTACAGGATTCTTAGAAAGTGACAGACATTGACTCCTGGTGTCACAGATTCAAGGTAACATTTTCCTCTATGAAGTAAAACTTGTAGCATAATTAAGGTAATTCTGCAGCTGCAGACTGGAGTTCCGGCTTAAATGCAGAGGAGGGGAAGGAAAGATTAGTTCAGGCTTTTTTTTGGCATATATAGTATTCCAGTGAAGGCTTCATGAAAGGTTAGATGCAGCATCTTGAACACATTCATCACAAGGACAAGCCACTCTATAGCAGTGTTTTTACATTTGAATAGTAGTGTAATTGCCAAGTTTGAGTTGTCTCCTAGCTCTGTTGTTACTTTGCCTATTTTCTTTGTTTCTCTGCCCTATTTGACATCCTTTTGAAAGCTGACTATAAGGTAAATTCTTCTTTGCTGAACCTAAATGCTTTTAAATAAGTTTCTCTTGTTACAGGTAATTTTGGGGGATTTTTAGTAATACGGTGTATCACAATTCTTGAGAAACAGATTTCTAAGCTCTCATAATTGTATATACTTCACCCAAAAAAATTTCTCTGCAGGCATTGTTTATTACAATTACAAAATCTATAATTTTTAGGGAAAAAAACCCCAAATCTTCACCATAACTTCATTAAATAGGTTGGTGGCTTGTAGCAAAATTATTATACTTATTTCAAAAGCTTGAAGATGTAAAACTAGAACTATTTCAAAAGCAAATTCTTCCATAATGTCTGTTAAGATAGAGGTTGGAAGGTTTTTTTTAAAACAGATAATAGAACTTGAATAATTTCAGATGTCCTCAAGAAGCTGTCCAATGTATCAGTCTTGAAATCTACTATGCTGAGGATTGAAGTTGCTTTTATTAAATACTTAACATCCTAGAAGAGCTTTTCTAAATGACAGGTTTTGGAAATACTCATTAATTTTTTCAATGTGCTCTTATTTTGTAATAGTTTATTCAATTTATAATCTGAAATCTTTTTGAAGGTGTGTTGAAACATAGAATACCAAGAGTTTAAGTCATCTGTGGAGGACTATGTGATTTCATTGTACTTGTCTGCCATATGTGTCTTTATCTATTTAGGTTCAAGCAAAGAAAGAAGAAACTTTGCCACCATCACATAGTCAAAACATTCCAACTTTTTATTTTCCTCGAGGATGTCCTAAGGAAAAAGTGAATATAGATGCTGTGATTGCCAAAATTGAGAAAACTTTTTCTGAATTTCCAAATGAGAGGGCAACATTGGAAGACATGGGTAAGGTTGCAAAGGTGAGAACTTGCTGGCCATCTTCTTTTCATACTGTAGTCCTATGGAAAGGAAAGATGAGTTCTGTGTGCTTGGTTTTCTTGTATTGTGCGTTTCCATCTCCCACACATTAGTATTTAATGATATTCTGCATTGTTGATAGCACAGTTCTGTGGAAATTTCTGCATTAAATGTGTATCAAATGATTTTATAAAAAGAAACAAAACATTAAACCAAAACTTGAACTACTTTTTTTACTGCATAAACAACCAAATACTAAAGAACAACATTGTATGTTGTTCTCCATTCCATATTGACCAAGATTTAAGGCAAAAACATTGCTAATATATATTTTGTTTTCAGATATTCACAGAGGTTGAGGTTTTTTTCTCATTCTGCTGAACCTCTGTTGTAAAGACAGAATGTTTCGGTAACCTGAGATTATAGCTCTCAAGTTATTCCTGAAGAGCTAATTTAGAGTTACAGCAGAGTGATAAGATACTTAGCTTAGAAAGCAGCAGTTATTTTTAAACTTCTGCATAAGTTTACAGACAATAAGCTAGTTAAAATAAATTTCCACTTTGTTATATTGAATCAATGCTTGAAATCGCACTGCAGATCATGGTCTTGGTGATGAATATGGTATTCATCCATGTTCCTGTCACTTTGTCCAGGGTCTAGAAAATAGAAACTGTGACTGCTCACAAGAGCAGGACTGGGGGTTTTCCTCACCAAAACCTTACTGCTAAGCTGAATGATAGGATCCCTGTCTTCCACAGCTCCTTCCAGTACAGAAGTGAGGAGGTAGGGAAGAGACCCTTCTCTCTCAGCAAGGAAGGGCAAAGGGTCTAGTTACCTACAATTCAGTGATGAAAGACACCTTCCTGAAGAATACTGAGGACAGTATTCATCAAAACCATTTTTTTAAATTTGCTTGAAGTACTAGTTAAACTATTGCATGAGAGGTATTTGTACTTAGGCACCAGTGACCTTGCACATCTTGCAGTTCACAGTCTCTTTGGAGATCCTTGGGGATGCCAGTTTGTCTGACTGCTCCCAGCTGGAATCAGTTTTAGGAAAATTGGGCTCTTGGCTGTGACAGCTGCAGACGCTTGGACCTTAGGTGCACATGGTCACACTGGAGTTGGGAATGTGTAGCTGTTGAGTACCCTAATGCAAAATACTGCTGCTCAGGGCAGGCTGGCCTGCTCCTTAAAATTGGATAGAGGATGTGCTGTGCACATGCAAGGATGCACATGAATTGAGCCATCCTCTGAGCCAGACAAATGTCAATTTGCTCCAGTTCAGAAGGTCTGTAAGTGGGCTGTCTTGAGCTTAGCTTAAAGATATCCAGCTCTTGAGCAGCACTTGGACTCTGTTCAGCTGCTTGGAACATGGACAGACAGACATGTGACTCTCTCAGTTGGTTTATCAGGAATGCTACAAGTTGCCCTGTGTTTTGCTCTCCACTTTTGGATTTCAGTCTAAAGCAGTTGTTTTAAATGGATTATTTCAGAAGGTGAAGCTGGTGTCAACAAATTGTTTTTTAAAATATCTCTTCCCAGTGCTTTCTTAACACTTACAATTTTTGAAGGATAAATGGAAGAGTAGCCCTCAGATAAGCAATCAATAAACTGACTTGATGTATACTTTAATTGTAGGCTTGTGAATGCCCACTTTACTGGAAAGGTCCTTTGTTTTATTGTGCTGGAGGTGAACGAACAGGATACGTGTCAGTTCATAAATTTGTTGCAATGTGGCGGAAGTAAGTAGATTACATTTTTTTAGAAGTACTGCATTTTTTTTCATTGAAATGTGATATTTTAAGCTCTGTGATTGACTGTAAAAGGGAATAAAACACTTTCCCATAATCAACCATTGTCAGCAGACTTGTACATGGGAAAAGGTAACTAAATAATACTTCAATATTTTAATATAAACAAATCTTCATTTACAGGGTTTATAGATTTTAAAATGTTTGGTAAATTACTGACAGCTCATAAGAAAAGTGAAAACCATGGACCTTACTTGTAGATGCCAGTTCTGGACAAAGTGCTTTTTATTTCTAGTTCTTCTCTAATTCTAACTTTAAATTGTCCTTTCATGTAATCAATTACGTGGTATACCCATCTCCTTTAACTTAAATTTACTGCTTTGATAAGTTCACTTGGAGCATGGTTTGATGTTTGTAATGAACTTTTGAATAAATACTGTTTCATAGACCTTGCTCTAGGATGCCTGCATAAGGTAGCATGAGCAACTTTCTGTGTAGAATATTAAGTGGAAAAATTTACGTTTCAGAGTACTACAGACCTGCTATGATGATGCTGCGAAGTTTGTTCACCTTCTGATGAACCCTGGATGTAACTACTTGGTGCAAGAAGACTTCATTCCTTTTTTACAAGTAAATTGCAACTGAAACTAATTCTAGGAATGTAATAAAATTATGAACTGGCAAAGCCCTGAGTTGTTTGAACTGAACATACTTTTTCATGGTCATCATTAAAGGTCATTGATAATATTTAGGTCAACTGACTTTGCATGATCCACTAAGATGCTAGTGAGTGACTTGTTTTACAGTTAATCATTTTGTATGAGGTGAGGTCAGTGCCATGGTAAGATTTAAAATTGATTGTAGGAATAGCACATGTATTGGAATCTTTATGTTTCAGAAGGCAGCTAAAGTTGTGTAAGTCAGGATAGGCCTTTGGACAGCAAAGAAATGGGATATGAATTCAAAACCTAGTAAATCTTTGTTGGAAGAGCAGCAGAAAACTCTAGAAATGACTGAATAAAACCTAAATTAACTTCACTGAAATATAGTAAAGCTTTTTTTTATCTGATTTATTTAAAAGATAATTTTATTTTTAAAAAGGTTTGTAGTGTATTTTGTCTGAAGCCTAAGTGAAAACAAAGTTATCAGTAATGATTTGGGTTGTTAATTTGAACTGTTCTGGTGAAGGAAGCAGGTGTGCTATTCTTTGCTAATTGTCTTATATGGTCACTAATGAATACTCCTTGGGATATTCAATTTTTTTTTTTGTAGGATGTGGTGAACAGTCATCCAGGCCTTTCATTTTTAAAAGAAGCATCTGAATTCCATTCTCGGTATATTACAACAGTAAGTGATTTGTATCTGGAAAAGCTATTTTTTGGTTAACTGAGAAAATCAAAATTAAGATTAGTCAATATGTCTGAGCAACTTTATCCCTTGGGAAGAGTAGAGTTAGAGTAGGCTGTCAGTCTTCATTTCTACATAACTAGAAATCTTGTGGAAAAAGTCTTTCTTAAGCATGATAGTTCTTCTTAACATTTGTAAGGAATTTCTGAATTTAATACTAATAAGAGAAGCAGTGAGTTGTAATAGTGTTGGATAAGTTAATGAACATTAAATGGAAGAGCAGGCTGTTATCTGAAACACTTGATTGTGGCTGTAGACTGCATTCATTAGAATCCTGACCTTAGTCTGGGATTAATTAAATGAAATCTTGAATGAAACATCTATATTAATATGATTATGTTCAGTATTAAGTGAAATAATGATAATATTGAAGCTGCTTGGCACTTTTCTCTCTGGGGACTTTTCTTCCAAGGAAGGTTTTATACATGAAAAGTTTCATTTCTGTCTTCCCAGGGTTACGTGACTGAAGTATTTGTTCTGTACCCAAGGGAAAAATCAGTGACATTAGACTCAACTGTAGACTAGACAGTCAATTCCACTGAAGTCTCGAAAGATTAAAATTCTTCAAAATGACATTCAGTTCACTTTCTTTGTGCATGTGAAAACTAGCTTAATGAATATTCTCCAACAAAAAAAAACCATGTAACGTTGATCATCTTTTATCAATCTTATACTTTGACCCAGGTTAAAATTGTGGAAGGCTTTTTTTGAGAGCGTTTGGGTTTTGTTCGTTACATCCTTCTTACAGAGACTTGCTGGCCTATCAAGTCTGTCCTGCTGCATTAGGTTTTGCTTCTTGTTATAATGATTACCTGAGCTCACAGAACTTTCTTGTCAGTTGTGATTGAAGGAATTATTCTGCCTGTGAGTTGTTTTCTTTCTTAATGGATTCTTGGTTATATCAAAGCCTGCTCTGTTTAAAATTGTGAAAGCTTGCTGCCTGTCCTGAAGAACGGTAGAAAATAAAAGGTCCTGCCATTTCCAGTTACTTTTCTTTGGAGGAACAGCTTATTTGAGTAGGTCTGAGTCTAGCAATATTGAATAAATTAGTATGAAATTATTTTATTAACAAAATTTAGTGTAGTCTTCACCAGAAACTGGTGTTTAATCAAAAAATTGCTGTTGAATCAGAAAGTAAGCTAGTATGAAAATATCAACATTTGGAATGCCATTCTGCATATTAAGAAATGGCAGAAGCACTCTGCCTTTTTCTTGCGATATTTTAAGATGGCATAACTGTTCACAGAATCCCAGAATATTCTGAGTTGGAAGGAACCCACAAGGATTCAAGTCTAATTCTTAAGTGAGTGGTCCATACAGGGATCAAACCCACAACTTTGACATTATTTGCACCATGCTTTGATCAACTGAGCTTGTTACAGTCTTCTAAAATTCTGTCCTGCAAGTTATTAATGATAAGAATAGATTATTTTGCCTATGATGAAAGAAGCCGTTCATACCTGTATTCAGTTAGCTTAACCTTGCTACGTGAAGTTTTGTCTGAAGGATACCTCCAGTTGCAAACCAAATGAGCCATTCTTCTGCTGGCTTTTTGTATATGCCTACCCATATGTATGTGTATATGCATATACATTACATACATCTCTTTAGCACATGTGTAAGCCAGGAAAGCAATCTGTTCTGTCTGCAAAGATATTGTATAGGTTTGATGGTCAGTCTAGTGGTCAGGTTAGTCACATAAGGCCAAGACAGAGCTGAAATAAGTTAAAAATGTTTGCTGTGACAAATGAGGTACTATGTTTATTCTGCCAGGACGTTAGGTGCATACCTGAACGGTGAGTTCTTGAAATAATAGTCTCTGTATTGCACCATCTCTTCTCCCTTCTGAGAAAGCACTCTGCAGAATAGTAAAGGCAATTCTCTGACAGTTTGCTTATAGTCTGCATCAGTTGGCTTTAGAGAACAGTTTAAGTCTGTTCCTAGTTGTCTTTACCAAACATTCAATTTTGTTTTTATTTTTAGACCAGTTAAATGTATAACAGATGAGATAATGACATGCAGATGGATTAAGTTGCAAAGCTAAGGCAAAAACCTTTTTAGAAAAAACTGCTTTGTAGTATAAGCCAAAAATGGGCCTTCCTTAAACTCACAATTGGAATTAAGTTAATTAAGTTTCAGAAGCAGGATAATCTATTCTTCTGTCTAGAGTCATTGAACCAGCTGTTCGTGTTTGAAGTAAGCACTGAGGAGCTTGCTGCTCTACAGTTTAAGCTTTCTTTCAAAATTTCATCAGTACATTACTCTTCTATTTGTAATTTAAAAATGATTGGTAAGTTTAAACTATTGATTTACTGCAATTAAAGTCTGAAGTGATAAAAGCTTAGCTTGTAGTTGGGAGGACATATTAATTGCAGGAAAGGGGTTCCTAAAGAGATGGAGATTTTAGTTAGTAACTGCTTTCTTACAAATGAAACACTACACATGCAATACCGAGTCTTGCCAGTTAGCAGGTATAATCAATCACCACTTACTGAGCAGTTATTGTTCATAATATTTTTAGGCTTTTTTGTCTGGGTTTTTTGTTGTTTTGGGGGGGTGTTTGTTTGGTTTGATTTAATTTCTTTTTTGTTTAGTGGTGAATGACTGACTTGAAATGTACATCTGGTTGTCTTAAGTCAAACTAATCGAGGAGAATACTGAATTCAGTTAAGTAGCAGTAAAAACATATTTTAAAGTCTTTAGTTTGTAAACTAAACCCAAAAAAACTATACTGAATGCATGAGTTGTCCAAAATAGCCATAGAACCATTAGTTTGGAGAAGACCTGTAAGATCATTGAGTTGATGTACATGTAAAAAAAAGTGTTGGATACTCAACTGAATACATTTGTTTCTGATTCCAGTATCAGTTATGGCATAAGAACTAGTCATCAACTAGTTTTTTGTTGGTTTGTTTGCTTTGATTTGGTTTGGGTTTTTTTGTTCTTCACTTGGAAAATATTAATGTACTACATCTAATGCTATTAACAGGGGATTTTTTTCCAAGGAACTTTCAAGTAGAATGAAGTTAAATGGGGAAAAACATTCTCTTTGCACCTGCAGGAAGTATTTGCCAGATGTAGATTTGTTGGTTTGCAGACTTCAGAAATAGCATCTGCTGTACTCTGATCCTTAAACAGTTCCAATTCTATTTCTGTAAATTCAATTATGAAGTAAAACAGTCTTATAGCAAATGCAGGTCTTTAAATCTGAAGTAATAAGATACTTTAATAGGTTCATTTGATTATATCCTTTAGATGTGAAAGACTTGAGGTAGTGAAATCACCAATATATATATTTTGGATAGCATATGAGTGTTCTGCAACATTACTGGATGAGATACAGCTACTGGAGCATTGGAATAAAACTGATCTAGATGAGTTTAGATGTAGATTTAGAAAGAGTGGATAATATGACAAATGAGAAATTCTAGCTAATGAGAACAATAGAAGTAGAGGAAAGATGGAGCTCTCTAATGCAGCTCTACTAAGACATCTTTGAGAAATATTTGGATGGATATTTAATTACCACAGCTAAAGCTTCTTTCCATTTTATCTTTCTTGCAGGTCATACAGAGAATATTTTATACAGTAAATAGGTCCTGGTCTGGGAAAATAACTTGTAATGAGCTCAGGAAAAGCAACTTTTTGCAGGTACATAATACCTAAAATTTTGTGAGACAGATATTTCTAGTTTAAAACTAAAAATAAGTTTAAAATTTAAGTTTTAAAACTGCATTAACTAAAGGCTTAAAGGAGTAACATAAATAGAATTTCTTACTTTTCCAAAAAGTAATGAAGACCCAATTGCATTAATTCTCATACATTAGAATATGTTTAAATGTAATTTTTTATATCTAGAGCTGTATGCATGTAAATGTGTGTAGCAGAAGTTGGTCCAATCTACTCAGTCTTCAGTTTCACTGTCACACTGTATGGTGTGCATTGTCCCTGAAAACAAAAACTGTTCCACTGAAATAGAATTAGATACTAACTTGGTTATGAGAACTCAGATCATTCAACAAATAAATGACTTACAAACTCTTGAATATGTTCTGTTTATCCTTCTGATAATAGAATGTGGCATTATTGGAAGAAGAAGCTGATATTAACCAGCTGACAGAGTACTTCTCATATGAACATTTTTATGTTATCTATTGCAAATTTTGGGAGCTGGATACAGACCATGACCTCTATATTGATCGGAAGGATTTAGCTCGACATAATGATTATGGTATGACAAATGAAGCATCTTTGTTTACATGTATTAAATGACCTGTAAACTTTGAGTTGAGGAAATGGTTTAATGCCAAGGCTGGTTTCTGTTGGTGTAGCTGGTCCTGCTGACTCAGTGAACTAAAGCAGGACAAGTTATCTGTGATGCTACTTTGCATCTATGAATACCACATTTGAGGAAAGTTCTGAATTTGAACTCTGATCTTGACAGAGAAGTAGAGGAAATATCTCTTAAGTGTTGGTGTATTATAAATTGTTTTATTTAGCAATTTTGGATTGTTATCTTGGACACAATCCATTTTACTGATATTATTCAAGTAGCATTATTTTATGGCAAAGTATAAAAGAGTAGAAAAGGCAAACATACCTTCAGGTACTTGGCTTATTTTTGAGTTTTGGTAACTCAGCTGTAGTGTGTTTTGGTTTGATACTATATAGCACTAGTTAGCAGGTTTACATTTGCTGAATGTATAATATGCAATGACCATGAATCTGTAATCTTGCACACTTGTTCCTATTTTAAATATTCTTGTAGCTTGTATGGAACTGTAGGGGCTCTTTTTAGGTGCCTCATGTCCATCTTAACAGTGTTCCTTTCAGGACCAGAAAGCTTACTTAAGCACAAAGTGATCATGGAGTATTATCCCATGTTAAAAAGGATAAAAACAATTCTGATTGCTTCTGAAAATTTGCCTGCTAAAGTTTGACTATGCTTAAGACAGTGAGGAAAACTGCTTTCATTTGAGTGGCTGCTCTATTAAGTTAGTACATTTTAGAAAGAAAGCACAACTAATACAGTGCCACCTGCAATTTAATTTTGCAAATTCTTAAGGATAAATTGAATATCCTTTACAAAGGTAGTGCTCAGTTCAGACATGTCTCTAAAATCCCTGAAATGGTTTCAAAATAGGAACATGGGTCAAAACCATGTCAAAAATAGACCCCTATCAGAATCAGAAAGGCATGTTTATTATGTATGATCGTGCCAGTTCTGGTTTGACTCTTTGCCAATGTCATGTAAAACTTAATGCCAATGGAAAATATGATTTACATGTCAAAGAACTGGGAAATGCAGTTTTATTAATCAGCCAGTTTTATTACCTGTATTACAATTTTATTATTATTTCTGCATTAAGTTTGAATTCAAAGCTGGGTGGTTGTAGCTTTGCTTTGGGGAATTTATGTTAAGTGATCCTCTCTAAAAGGACTCAAAGGGATTAATGAGCACTGCACTTGATCTTTCTCACTGATCTGTGTATATAAGAGTTCCAGTAAACTCTTCAACAACACAATATAAAGCAAGCAATAACTTGCATAAAGTTGACACTGTTTCAAACTTTTCCTCACAGCAATTTCAACTAGGATGATAGAGCGCATCTTCTCAGGAGCAGTAACAAGGTATTTATTTTGTATGCTGATCTAAATCAAATTTAATTTTTGCTTGTTAAATGGTGTGGTATTCCAAGGGTACAAGATAGCTCCCCTCACAAAGGAGCAATGAATTTCAAGATTTAGTATTGTAGTTTAAACTCTAGTAGTACTGGAGAGGTCTTGGAACCTTTGGCACAGTTCAAGTTCTTCACTCTCTTTACCCATATGAACACTGGCCACTGGATATTGTATGACTTAGCAGGACTGGGAATGAAGAAAGAAGAAATGTTATCATCATTCTTTTTCCATCCTTCAAACCTGCAAAATGTCCAAGGAGAATTGAGCTTTTAAGTACTAATTGTAAAATCAATGCTTATTGCATCAATAAACTTACAAAAATGCCTCCAGTTGAGTTAATTCAGATTTTTGACAGTTATTCTTCATTTCTCCCCTTGGGATTGACTTCCTCTTTTGTATTTATGGCATTTTATTAACTTTTGAAAGTTTTCCTAGCACAGTATCTTAGATGGAAGGCAACTGATAAACAGAAATAAAAGCTGAAATGAGATATTTACCAGTCATACGTCTAGAGCTTACTCCTTTATCTGGGTCTCTTGGGCAAGACAAAACATATACCATATTTTCCCAAACATCTTGAAGATAAAACAGCAAAAAATGAATTTCATTATTGAAATGTAGTATGTCTAGGAACTTCCAATCTGACTTTTTACTAGACAGGTTGACTATGTGCAACTTATTTGGTTGCTGCAGTTATGAGAGTAGAAACAGACAATTATGTTCTTGCCATGGACACTTACTTCCTGGATATTTCTATTTCATTTTTATCTTCATGTTTTCATTCAAAAACTTATAGTTACTGGAGTTCTGTAAAGCTTTTAAGTTCTCATCACTTCTACTTGAACAAAAATTCTAAAAAGCATATGTACTTGCATATAATATATCATCAAAAATTATTCAAGATGGCTCTTCTGTTAACAATTAAACACCTTATGAACACTGGATCGTTTAGGAGTAAATAGTTAATACCAACAAGGAAAACAATCCTTAATTTTGGTTAGTAAAAGCTAGGTATTCTAAAATGTATTTTCTATCTTTTTCCTCATTGGCCTTCAAGAGGAAGAAAAGCACAAAAAGATGGGAAGATTAGCTATGCTGATTTCGTCTGGTTTTTGATATCTGAAGAGGACAAGAAAACACCAACTAGGTAAGAAATAGTTTGTTTCAGCAGAAATAAAAAATGACTTTGTTTTTCCAGCCTTTAAATGGGGACCACTGGTGAACTGCTGCAACTCTAATGGAAGAAGCTAAACTATGAATACATGAGTGGAAAACTTGCCCAGTTCTTTGCACCATCCTTGTTTATCAGTGTCTCCTGTTGTTGTAGCTGTAGAAGTCTACTTTAGTGATTTTTAAGAGGCTAACTCAATGTTATTGTTTCATAAGTTGTGGTCTATTTCACTATTTCATAGTGGTCTATTTATGAACAGGGACATTATTTTATGGATGTTGCAGCTGTTTCATGATGCCAATAACTTTGGGAAGCTGTGCAGCTACTATTAGTTGTATGGTACTGATATGTGATCATGTGATATGTCACTAGCTTGTTCAATATGGGAACATACCCAAAATATTTAAGTTTCCATGTACAATTCAATTTTTCATTGTCTCCCTTGATTTCTTTTTATGTAAAACCGTGTCTTCTCCTTACCATTAACAAATGTGTTTTCAAATGCATTAATGGATGGCATAGCAAATACCAGCAACTCTTATCACAGTAAGTGATGTTTAATGACTTTCCATGGATTAGTGGAATGTGCTCTTAAGTTTAGTTTTTCCTTTGAAAAAGTCAACATGAATTCTTGAGATTCTGTAGTAAGTTTGTCTCTTTGCTGTTCATGACTGAATTTCAGTATTGAATACTGGTTCCGCTGCATGGATCTTGATGGGGATGGTGCTTTGTCTATGTATGAATTGGAATATTTTTATGAAGAACAGTGCCAAAAATTAGATAACATGGCCATAGAACCTTTGCCATTTGAAGACTGTCTGTGCCAGATGCTGGATCTTGTAAAGCCACAACATGAAGGTAATTAACATCTTTTCCATCTGTAACTTGTGTTTCCCTGGATTTAGGAGTTAGTGCAGCCTTAAGAGCACTTGGCTGGTCATACAAATAAAATGCCTTGAGGTTTAAATGTCTTTTCACTGAAGTCTGTTAAAGCTTAATAATTGATCAGTCTTCCAACAGCAGGCAGGCATTCTTTCCATACTAAAATGTAATATGCTGCTTTAAAATTCCTTGTCAGCTTTCATTTTGCACTTGTAGCAACATTTAGTCTTAAGTAAAACCTTGTCACTGTCTAGCTGAGGTGAGGCTCTCAGGAAACCTCTTGATTGTTCGCTCATTTCTCACCTCTTCCAGTGCTCATTCAATTCAGTTTCTCTGGAGGGAACCAATTCAAAACAGTGTTTGTCTCTTAGACCTCTTAAACTTATTTTACATTAGAAGCCTAAGCTGCCCTTAGGAAATGCATGACAAGAGGCTTAAAATTAACAGAATAATAAACTGTTCTGAGTTTTTGGGTATTTTTTACACCCATCTGAACTTTTCTAGAGCTGCATTCTACTCTCCTGCATTTGACATTGTATCATCTTTAGGTGATGAAACTTCAGTTTACATTTTACACCTGAAAAAATATTAAGAAGTGAGCATCATGTTCTATACAATTATGGTTAGACAATCAATTAGTAAGTTGTGCTTACTTTCTTTCTAGTATTAAGATTATTTAAATTACAAGAAGCTTAATTTTTTTTAAAGACACTTGTCATTTATTGAGATGTGATTTTTTTGCATGCTGAGAGAATTGAAATGGCTGAAAACTAGAATGTAAAGCTTGATATTCTTATTTAAACAAGTTAAAATGGATTTTCTTAGTGAAAATACATCTCTAAATGCAGATAAAAAAATTGTCAAACAAAAAAGGAGTATTAAGTGTGAATCATCTGAAAGCTCCATCCCTAGTATCAGTGGAATGAAGTCTTAGACCAACATTGTGTTATGCCTGGGGGCTAGGGGGCATTTAAACTGAAGTGAGGCAAGCTCTGAGAAGCACATTTCTGTTATATGGTTGCTCACAATCCTGAGCTCAGTAGTTCCCTTCCAGTCTTACATTATTATTTTGAAAATCATTCATAATAATATTTCTGTTCTGCATTTAAAACGAACCAAGATTGATGTATCTCCTCTATGTCATGAGGATGATAAAAGAAGGCTATCAAACACAGCCAAGATGAGTTATTCAGGGTAACAAGAATGAAAGCCAGTTGAGAAGAGTCAATTATTTATTTTTTTTTTTTAACTGAACTATGTTTAAAAGGTGGATTAAGAAAAAAATCTTCTGGTTTTCTATAACAAAACTAGCAGCATAAACTCATGTTTCACTTTTTGAAGCAAAAGAAGACACTTTCATAAAGTTATGCCTAAACTGTGATATCGTTTCTGTAGAATGCTCTTTGTACAAAAAAAGCAAACTTTAATTTTTGGAGACCTGAATTAATTACTTAAATTTTACTCCTGTTTTGTTGGTGTTTGAGAGACAATGGTAGACATCTACATGAGTGTTAAGTGTCTAAGCTCCCATAAATGCAATAAATGGAAACTGGAGAGCATATCAATGAACCAAATATAGGAGTCTAACTTAAACTGGGAGCTTATGTAACTAGGATTCAAATCATTTGCTTGGTTGTGGAGAGCTGCTGCCACTTGAGATGGCATAGTGCATCAGACATCTGTGTGGGTCTGACAGATAGGGCACAGGTGCCACGGGGGATTTGTGTCGTTCTGGAGCACCAGCTAAAAGCCAGGCAGAACACACCGGGGCTCTTCATGACAGATGCAAGTGTGGCAACCATGTACAAATGGAACTTGGATTTTGCTTCCCTGTGATGTCCTTGAGTTACACTTTGTTAGAGGCTGGGACAGTATGCTGAGGAAATACTGAGTTCCAAGTCTGACTTTTATCGAACTCTTCCAGAATATCTTCAGTTAGTTCCTATTTGATTAACAATGGAAGACTGTCTGTACTCCAGGTGAATCAATAAAGGAGAGTTTTAAGGATAGTCATCTGTCTTCCCTTGTGTATCTCATATTTTTTAGCCTTTCTGCAGAAGCTTCAATATTCAGCTTTGAAATAAGGTAACATTTCTGAGCAACCTGACAAATACTTCTAATGCTTAACACATCCATTGATTTGAGTCTTTAAAGTATCACACTATAAAAATCAAACAAAACACCTCTGAGCATTTAGCTTTCCTCTCAGGCAGTAAATATTGATCAGACTGGACAAGTGTGGCAATCTTGACTCCATGAAAAATTCATCTGTATGAAGCATAGTCATACACTGTCATCTCTGTCATATATTTGTCTGCTCAAGTCAGGGGAGAGGGCTGCTGCCATAGGACATTCCTACCCGCTACCCAAGCACTCCTTGAGAAGGAATGGCTAACTCACTGGAGACTTTTATCTGTTGTGGAAGCTTAAACTAATACCTTAAATGATTTTTAATAGCTAAGGGAGGTAAGACAGGATCTCACTCCAACACACTGACAGGCTGTGGGATAAGACTACCACAGCAAGGAAAAAAATCTGAACCATTTATAAGTTTTGTACACGTTGAAGGACACATCTCTAGGTATGCATTTCGTCTGTTTGCATCTCTCCCATTGCTTTGAGGATCAGTGACAAATGTTGTTGAGCAGTGATGACTGAGTAATGATAATGTTCCTTTGATTCCTCCACTTTAACTTTTAAAGGGTAACTTTAGCTCTAATAATTTTATCTCTTATTATCTTATCTCATAATCTTCTTTACAGGAAAAATTACTCTGCATGATTTAAAGCGATGTAAGTTGACAAATGTGTTCTTTGATACTTTTTTCAACATTGAAAAATACCTTGACCATGAACAGAAGGATCAGTTTTCTATGTTGCGGGTGAGTATGAAGCTTTAGAAGTCTTTACAGCTATGGGCTTAGCAATTAATACTGTTTTGTGTAACAAGTAACATGATTTGTTTAGGATGGTGAAGGTGAAAGTCAAGAGGTCTCTGACTGGGAGAAATATGCTGCTGAAGAATATGATATCTTGGTAGCAGAAGAGGCAGCAAGTGACCAGTGGAATGACGGGTAAGAATGCAGCAGGACCATTTATATGAATCCTCTACTAAAGTAGAGCCTCATCACCACTATCCTTCATTTAAAAAACACATCCTTCTCAAAAATATGTAATTATTGGTGTATGAGACTACCAAGTATACATGTGAGAGCCAAAACTCTTATTCTAGAATATGCATCTTTACAAGCTCTTGTTTTTAAATTTGTGACTTGGTGAATTGAACTTTCAGATGACTTTTGCATTCTCTTTAAATCAGTGGTGAACTCATGGAAAAAACCTAAGGTCCTGCTCTATTTTCGTGTTCAGAGTGGATTCTTAGTATTTAACTTTTCTTTGCCCTATGTCTTTCTCTGAAAGAACAACTGATGAGCATATAATGCTTTTGTAAATCAATTTTAAATAACAAGAACTGCAGTATCTAAAGCTCATTCTCTGCACAGTCCTGTTAAGTAGATGAAAAAAAAGATGTGATGAAATTCAGTAGTGGTTGGGAATATATGCATGGCTTGAGTCACCCTAACCCAGGAAACGGTCAGTTTTTTAATCTGCTACCATCTCCATAGAGACTTCGTGGGATTTTTTAAAAGCTATGAATTATAGATTGATCCCACCTGAAGTGTCGAAGCTAACCTTTTTTAAATACCAGCCTTCACTGGCTTGAATTAGTTAAACTTACATTTCATTATCCATCTATTCATCTGCATCATTAGCAGGTGGTTATCAATATTTCTGGGTTAACAGCTGGGTTCTGCTTTCAGCATCTGCTTAAAAGCACGGTTGCTATTGCTTCCTGGTGCTCATGCACATGGCAGTGTAAGACCCTCAGTCCAGTATTCCTTCTCTTTTATCATATCTACTGCAGCTGCATTTCATTCTTCCTAACTAAGCCTCACTTCAGCTTTCTTGAAAAGAACTTGTGATGTTTCTGGCAAGTACTTAAAGTCTTGCATTTGACCATTTCTAGCCTATAAGTACTCCACTGGAGCAGTGTGTCAGTATGTGCTTTGAAACCTTTCAGTAGAGCTGCATTTCATGCTGGAGAGTTTGGCATGCAATAGGAGAGTAAGCTAACTTAAATTCAGGGAATTATTACAGAACCCTGGTGCTGTTCTGATTATCTTTCTTTATTATAAAATACTGGAAAGTATGTTCTTCCTGTATCTACCATGTTAGTGTTCCAATACTTAGGCACTCTCTGGCATAGTTAGACTCTTTCACTTTATTTATTTTTTTTGTCTGCTTCTAGGTATGAAGCAGAACTGAATCCTGTAGACCATCAGAAGGCCAGTGTTCTAAAGTACCAAATGGAGAAAAGACCATTTTTTGAAATGCCTTCCCATCTGGCTGATGTAGACTTGGATGAATATGACTATGATGAGGATTTTGAGTAGAGGTTATTTATGGTTAGCACTTGCAGAAGAGAAGGGACAGTCTGCAGCAGGTCTGCTACACACTGATACATTTCAGTGAGGTTTGTTTCCAGGAAGTCAGCTTAGTTTTGTGCTAAAAATACCTAATCATTACACTACCTTTTAAGTAAAGAAGTGCATTTATATGGAATGATGAGATTTTTGTATTTATTCAATAGTTTATCGTTTGTAAAATAGATTAAAATATTTATTTACAGATGTTGCATAATTCCTTTTTGGAAGAATAACAATATTTGACTTAAGAGAAAAGTAATCTACTCTTTTTAAGAGAACTGTGTAATTCTCTTGAAGTTGATGTGTGGTGCACTGACCATCTCCATCTCACCTGTGAACAGGTATTTCTGTCCTGGTTTGGGAGGTAAGGACACAATTTACACCTGCAATGTGCTCATGCTCATAGACAGCCCTCTTTTAGGTTTTATGCCTTTGCAAGGAAGAGACGTGACAATGAGTGTGCAGTTCAGTGCTCATTTACAAGCAGAATTTTGTTTGACAAGCTGTGCATATTAGAATACACTAAAGTGAGCACCCAAGATAAGTTGTTTTTCTTCTCTGTGTAGTCCTTGTTTGCCCCAACTTCAATTTTGCATGCCCTTTTAAACTGTCTTTTTGTTGATGTTCATCATAAAAAGATTATTTAACAGTGAAGTCTGAGTGTTCATACTTGATCCAAAATGGGTGTGTTAATTCATGCAGAAGGAACCAATTTTTTTTTAAATCCTTTGTATAAATGTTACTTGATCAGTGATGTGCACTAATTTGTTGTGGGCATTCAGTGCTTTTGTCTGTCCTCCCCTTTGCTTGTTTGCTATTGACACATTCCATGGATATTCATCAGTGTCACAGCAGCTTGAAATTGTTGCCTCACTCTTAACTGTTAAACAGGTTTTGTTGGGGAAAAAATGTACAAAAAGATGTAAGTTATTTTTTTGGTTGCAGTGTAGATCTTTTAAAATGTTTAAAAAACATGTTTGTATTTTCAAATAAAGATTTTCATACATGTAATTTAACAGTTCTAATTTTTACATACTGCACACAATTTATGTCTTACTATTAAAGAACCATTAACCATAGGATAGGTTACACAGGTATGCAGTCTGATTGGGTAATTACAACAAGCTGCATATGCAAAGCAGACAGCCTCTATCAGGTTTTCCTTCATCCAAAAGAGAGTACTTGCTGAGCAGCTGGGAAAAACCTCTTGTGCTCAACTCCTCACACCAGCTCCTGCAGAAGCCTACCCTCCTACACAAGAAACTCATTGCTGAAGTGCCAGTGAAGTAATTTTAATACCACTTGAAGGATTTTGGTTAATTATTCCAGTTATAAGAGAGACTCACCAATGTCACATTCCTCTTGGATTGGCTGGATACCTTTCACTAACTGCCCCCTTTGGTTTGGGGCTTTTAAACAGTAAAGATAGAGCATTTCTGTTAAGCTCTTTTCCCTCAGGGACAGGATGACCAACTGCCTTTCCAGAGGATGAGCCTGAACATCTGATGTTTCCTACCCTAAAACCCTTCTTAAGAAGGGGACATGTAAGTGGGCAGGGAACAGCCACAGACAATGTGGAATGACACTATGGTGCAGAGTCGATCTCTTCTGCAGAATTTATAGCTGTTGACACTTTGTATTTAATGAACTACTTGTTCAATCCTGCTCTCTATTATACCTGTGCTAAGTTCCTTCTTTCCTAAGTAGAACATACCGTCCTGTTACTGTGGAAGTCCTTTTTCTTAAAATACATGAGCTTATGAGGATTACTGGACCTTGCCTCTGCAGGGTAATTCCCATCCCCAGCCCATTGTTACAAAAATTAAAGTATCCATATGCTTGATGTAGTTGCAGGTATAACTATTCTCCTAGTCAAGCTGTATTTTGCCTGCCTGGTGAGTGCTTAAGGCTAGATCCACAAATCATGCACAGGTGGATGAGGGAAACATCAGTCCCCAGTCCAAGTAGGGGCAGTTACTGATGGAATCATAGGGAAACCTGAGAGCCACATGATGTGGGGAGTGGTACCTCCCCTGTGTCAGCCCATACACACAACTATGCACGAGGAAAATCATGGATTCACTGTGGCCACTTCAGTGTAACCAATACCTGAGCAACAGTCATGGCTTTCAATTCCATCTTCATCTCCATGCTCAGCCTGTGGAATAACACAACACATGCAAAGGCCAGCACACATTGCTGCCATTCTTTCTCCAGACATGGTGTGGGAGTATCACTTACACATTCTGTAGCAATAGTTCTGTAGTTTATTTTACACAGTTACAATCCAAAATATATATATATATATTAAAAATAAAGCTGCTATGATTACTTCAATGTACAATTCCAGGTAGCAGTGAGAAGGGTCAGGGAAAGCAGCCTGCACTCCCCAGCCTATTGCCACTGCAACGCCCTTGCGTGAAGATAATTTCCAAATTCTTAATGCAAAAATCCCCTATTTTTGAATGGCCATATTTACAGTCTATTTACATTGTCTTTCCAGGGTTTTTCCAAGTAAACACCACATGATCACTGTACGAAGGACTTCTTCCAGAGGAAAATAGTCAGCTGGTCCACTGTTCCTTTGTTATTTTGAAGCCTTGACACAAGTTCCCCAGGAACATGTCCTGATGCTTATAGACCTCTAAGCAATGGAATTCAGAAGTACTTTCAGATGATTGATTGATGCAGGTTTTCCATTTTACAGGCAGGAAATGGCACTTGCCATCACCCAGCAGGTCCCAGTGTTCACAGTTGGGCTCCTTTCTCCCCTGCACCAGGTGCAAGGGAACACACAGATCTCAAACAGTCAAGAACATGGCCAGCAGAGCACTGCCCCCACATGCTTCAAACAAGCTTGTCTCACCTGTTTCACAGTGTCTTTGATTCAGTGTTTGTCAATACCCTGATTCCAATCCCCCAGCTGCAAGCTTTTCCAAGGCAGCATCAAGGATCAGTAATGATAAGTAATGATGCTCAGAAGGCCCAACCCTAGAACTGCAGCAGCCACATCAGTAACACCCACAACCAGCAGTGGTGAGAAATCAACCATAGGGCTACAAACTGGTTCTGGGTGGATGCCCATGGGCACAGAGACATCTTGATCCATGTCTCCTGCCACCTCAGTTGATGCTCTCACACCACATTGACAAGTTAAACGATTTGCAGGAAAAACATAGCGTGTGCTTCACTTCTGTTCATCCTCAGTGTCTTAACTGTCCTACATCACAAGAAAAAAGAGATTAAGTCAGTCCTCTACTATGACCCCATGTAAGAGCCCATAAGGAATCTCAGTAACAGTGTAGCATCTAACCATTGAGCCAGCTCTTACAAAAAACTACAGCTTCCAGAAAAGGAAAGAAGCATTCCATGCCCCAAAAAGCCCAGAAAAGGTACTACAAGAAAAGGCACCATGATGCATAAGTAGTGCAATTTCTTATGGCTCTGATCTTTGTCCATGGAGTTAAATTCTTTTATTATCTATCTTCAGTAGGATCTGTTTCAAGTACGTGGGCCAAACTCTACATTTTAACATGCATATGACTGAAAGAAAAGGTAGTAGTCCCTTTTTTCTCCTTCTAGTCTTCTTTAAAAAATAAAAGCCCACCATATGTTAAAAAAACATTGGCTGGACTTTACAGCAAAAACTCATTTAAATAAGACAAAAATCATGTGAAGTCTGAACGTGGTTGTTAGATCCCAGATAACCAAGAGTCACAGGAAATAAAGGGGTTGCCTGACTAACTGCAAAAATACTGTCTGCCAAACACTGAGTTATGTTCTGAAGTGCAGAGAGCAGGGGAAAATACAGGAGAAAAAGTTGAAGGAACTGCTCAGCACCCTGTAGTGGCTGACACAGAAACCTTTAGGGGGCAGAAGGGTTGTGATTAGCTGCAGCACAGGAAAAATCATGGCCTTTCTTTCCCCCCGCTTTCTTTGTACAATCATTCCACATTCCCTAATGTACAACATCCTGTCTGAGCTCTTGCACTCCACTGGCCCAAAGTGATGCCTTAACTTTTAGCTTTCATATTTTTCAGATTCTGTACTGCATTAGTATGTAACTGAACTTTATATATATATATATCTAAAGTGTTAGCAAGTTCTCTTCACAGTGTAGTTAGACAAAACAATTCTTTCCCAGCTGAGAACCAAGGACACCGTTGCAGCTTCAGGCCCAAAGGAGTATAAACAACGGCAAATTGAGGAGAGCAATCTGGGAGGATCAGCTTCAGGCCCAAAGGAGTATAAACAACGGCAAATTGAGGAGAGCAATCTGGGAGGATGGGACTTTATAACCTGAAGCTGTAATTGGACAATTAACCCCAATCTGTAAATGGACCCAAACTCATAAAAGTGTGAAAACACATGACCCATCATCCATCTTGGGTGTAGCCATGGCCAGGCTCTTGTACTACCTAAGGTGTATCCTTTGAAGGCCTTTTAACTCTGTCTAGCCTCTGTTCTAGGTAGCCTCTCAAGGCATCAATTTTTGGCAACTCCACTGGGACAGCAAGGCATCTGGAACTAGGGCTGAAAGCGCTTCCCTGCTGAAAGAATCCAGTCCAGGGCCGAGCTGAAACCCAGGCAGACAGCTGCAGCTCTGCCAAACTTGGATCCCAAAGGCAATCAGTGCCCAGGAGACAAGCCCCTGGCTATGCTGGTTGCCACTCCAAGCCCACAATGTTCTCACGCTTCCCTTCAAATTCCCAGATTGTTCAGGGACAATTTAGTCTGCCCAACAGTCTTGACTGGAAAAGGGCAAGTAACATGGGATACTGCAGCAAGAGCCCAGGGCTGTCCAGTGATCAGACACATTCCAAGTCTTTCAATCCAAAGAGCACAATGCAGACACCATTTCTGAAGCAGATACTCTCTGCAGGCCACGCAGCAGTGCCATCTCTGCAATGTGTCAGTAACACGAAGCAACTGCAGCAAATGGCTCTCAATAAGGAATCTTCACAGCATTGGAAAAAAGAAAGGGGATCCTCCTTCTTAATGCATCCTAAGTGACATTCAATCCTTATGAATGACCTAAGGATGTCTAGATGCTACAATGATGATTGCCTCTAAAATGTAGATTAAGCTGAAGGATGAAACTATAGTTGCAGCTGGAAAGGGAAGAGGGCATCCCCC